TGACTACCAATCACGAGCAAATGATTTTTGAAGACTTCGCGATTGACAAGATTGCAGCAGCCAGTGAAAATACACGTCGATATGAATCTAAAAATACTTCCCATAGGCACGGACGCACTTCGCATTTATAACTCGCCATTTCCACCAAGTGCAATCATGTAAGAAATAAATCGCCCATAATAAACAGGTTACGCTAGGCTATCGAATTTAAATTATATGACGTTCTTAACATTAATTTTCAGTAAATTGTTAATTCCTTATATTTGAATAAAATATAATGTATACAACGTTTCAAAGCTGCGTTTAATAGACGGTGAATAAATATGAATAAGTAAGAAATAAGTTCGGAGTTAATATGGCCAAGGTTTTAAGTTTGGACACTGAGAAGTGGTCCAAAAATCGAAATAGGCATTTTCAGTGATTTCAGAGCTTCAAAGTAGTAAGGAAGTATAGTCATTCGGCCAATCACCAACGTCGGAATAGATTATTTCGGTCCCTCAATGGTCACAGAAGGGCGTTCAACGGAAAAACGGTATGGTGGGATATTTACCTGTCTATGCCGTAAACGGTATGGTGTTATATTTACCTGTCTATGCCGTCGTGCAATTCTCATTGAAGTAGCATCTTCCATGATACAGATTCATTCATTAATGCCTTCAGAGGATTCGTGTCAAGATTGGGTAATATGATGACCATTCGCTCAGATAACTGAACGAATTTCACTTCAAGAAATAAAGAGATGGCAGAACAAATACATAATTAGACTGAGAGCGTCGTAAAGAATTTGATGAAGCAATTAGCAATTGAATAGAAATTTCGACCTTTATCAGCCTCGCAGTTTTGTGGGAGTTTGAGAACGCGAAATGAGAACCATTCGAAAAATCCTAAACGCTTTGATGAAGGAGAAACCTAATCGCATAAATGACGAAGAACTGAATACGCTATTCTGCGGGGTGGATAGCTAGAGCCTAGAGGTCAGCATAGCCCAAGTCCACAGTGCGATTCATATACCTTCCCCGCTTCCCGAGCGTAACGGAGCCGGGCATTTTCACGGCTTTTGACACAAAGCGCCCACTACAACAGCGCAGTTCAGTCACAGGCCGGAGCGCATACAGGCCGGAGCACAACTGGCCGGAGCGCAGCAGGCCCTACCGCAACAGTTACTCCTAACGTAACCACCTAACCTAACCTGCGCCGCCAGTTGCGGTAGGGCCTGTTGCGCTCCGGCCAGTTGGGCTCCAGCGCTGTGAAGCAGTGGCTGTGTTGTACAAAGCGGATTTACTGTTAGCCGGAGTTACCCACAGCTCATTGATCTGAGGCTATGTGTAGATATTGCATGCTGATGGTTGGCGTTGGACCCAGGGCCTGTTTACGAGTCAATTTTGTTACCCACGGCTGCGCTCCCATTCTGTGAAGTTGCTGCTATTCTCAATTATCGACCACTAACCGAATTGACGAACGACTCATCAGACTTGGAAGCGCTTACTCCCAACCATATTGGGCCATACTTTCAAAACTCGCTAAGTGAACGTAAGTACTTACACTCTATTGTCTTGTCTATGATTGGTGGATTTGGCTTGAAAGGCCGTCAATGATTGGCGGATGAACTTACAATATCTTAACTTTTTTTGAAAGCATAGGCCCTGCTTCTCTTGCAATCCGGCGTCACTTTCCCTCCTGTATTGTTTTCGCGAGATTATCTTTACCCCAAGAGAAGTTAGCAATAAGTTCAATATCTAGCTAACTTATTTTGACTTGGGGGGCGTAAGCAGTATTTGCCACTATGTTAGGAAAGACAGAAATGGACGAGAAGTAGCCCTTTACTACAGCCAAACGATTTGGTTGTCGTAGTAGACCAGTTATTGCTTTGAAGTTTATGGTCTACCGGTAGAGTGAGGCAGTGACTGAGGTTTATTCTGATAAAAATGGCTATGTTCGTCAAGGTAAAGTTATGATTGTTGAAAATAAGGATGCGAAGAACATTATTTTCAAAACTATCGAAATCAAGAGACTTATCGTTAACTTGTATTATTGTGTGAAGAAATTGATGTATAAATGTTGATCATTTTTAGGGCCGTGATATGTAGCCACCGTTCAAAATTTTTAGTGTTCCATGCCTACTGCTAAATGGAAATTTTACTCACAAAAAGGAGTCAAATCGACGTTAATAATTATAATTCGTTAATTTCTCAGATTCCTATATCATTCATTGTAAAGACCTTGAAAGAGATGCCCGTTTGTACCCAACGAACCACAAGCTATTCGGTTAGTGTAATTTCTTTTAAAGGCCTCCCACACTCACCATTCCAACAAAAAGGGATTTATTAATTAAAAACAGGGAATGGTTTCATGTCAATGATCAGGGCCCCGGCCTTAACGCCTCTGATGGTGGCCTACACCAACTCCGAGAGTCACTGAGCTGTGTCGCGAGCGAGGAGCGGGCCCACGTCGAACTTTTCTCTGACTGCTGTTGGGATGCTAGCTGCATTGCCTCTCTGCACAGCCAAACCCAACCTTTGCTCCAACCATAGAGTCTCTCTACGTTCGCCGGACAATTCCGTAATGCGACGGCCAATCTGTGATATTAAAGGACCAGTCGTTTCACCATATGTGCCCGTCGTTTCTAATGCGACTGGCTCGAAACGATACCGAGCTGCCAACGCCGCGTATTTACGTCTCTTGCTATCCTCCGCCGCACGAGCCGCGAACCCAGCAGAAATAGCCGAATTATTGACGTGCGAATCAGCAAAAGTTATTTATGTCTGATTATTTGTTTTTATTATTATTTGGTTCATATGTATATGTTCCACTCATGCATCGTACCGTATTATTGATATTTTTATCTATTTTTATATCATTTCTTTCGAGAAGACGTTCGTCATGAACCTCTTATTTTAACCCGCCATGTCGGCGCATCATAGAATATAGCAGTATTATAGTTCCCAAAGGTCTAGAATACGAGAAAGTCCTTCACATTTAGTTTAAATCAAAGCAATGGAAAAAATAGTGGCGACATCGAGGCATCTTGTTCTCAATTAGTTAGGTCATCAATTTCATGCCGTTTCATTATGAATTGAGGGACTTATGAGATGGTCAGTGGCGCAAAATTCACACTTTTCCGTTTTAATTGACAACGAAGTGACGTAAAGCTGTGTTATAATTCTTCCTGTGACTTATTTTCAATAATTAGAAATGTTCTAAATTTCATGCATACCCCTTCAGAATTGAGAGACATAAGAGCTGTTCAGTTGCGCCTAATTTGCGTTTTGTGTTTTAATCCGATGACGAGGCGCGGGTGAGTTCGGTGAAGTGTCCAAAAACCACCCGCACTCGAAAGAGCGGAACTAATATTTTCGTACCGCTATTTTTGCTGTTATTAATATATGGATGATAACCACTTCAACACGGCTTCATCGAAATTGCATGCCTCTTCTAAACTCACTAACTAAAATAAACGAAAATATCCCACGGAAATATAATACAGCAAGAAAAAATCTGGCCTTGCACAATAGCGCACGACATTCGAGATCTTGTTAAATTTCGAATTAAAGAGGGATTATTGCTCACTAAGAAAATTATAGGTAATTAGCAAATTAATATTTTATTTGCATTCGCTTTGTATAATTCATTCAATTATATTATCATTTAGTTGGGATGAAAACAAAGCTGGCTCAACGACTTATTGCAACAGACATCGAACCATCATTTATTTACCGATTAATATTTTTAATGAATTATAGTTCTGCTCAATAATGAATTATGAATTATAGCTCAGCTATATTTCAATTATTATGAATAAATTTTAGCTCTGCTGCTCATTTAAATGCAATTTTAAAATAATTGCAAGATAAGATATTTATTCAAAATTTCATTTTTGCAATTATATTCCGGCTTGAAATTGAATTATTATGAAGTAAGGTAGCTCGCAGTTGCGCACACGGGTAATGGGATAAAGGGTAAAATTACGTTAATAATTTAGTATTTGACTAAGGAAATAAAGGCTGCCGTGGTAAACTCATTATCTTAAGCGTATACTGCTTTGAAATTTCCAGGCAAAATAATATAATATTGGGCGTATGTGAGAACTAGCCGCGGTCGTCGCATCATTCGCGTTGAACCAGAAATCAGGGGCCATGCTTTCAAAACTCGCTAAGTGAACGTAAGTACTTACGCTCTATTTTCTTGTCCATGATTGGTGGATTTTGCTTGAAAGGCCGTCAATGATTGGCTGATGAACTTACGATCTCTCAACTTTTTTCTGAAAGTATAGGACCAGGGGCCATGCTTTCAAAACTCGCTAAGTGAACGTAAGTACTTACGCTCTATTTTCTTGTCTATGATTGGTGGATTTTGCTTGAAAGGCCGTCAATGATTGGCGGATGAACTTACGATCTCTCAACTTTTTTTGAAAGTATAGGCCCAGGGCCAGACATCACCGATTTCAGAATATTATTGATTGCTGCGATAAACAATGTATTTACTTGCATGCTTGAACTGATAAACAGCGGGAACAATTCCCTGCATCGGTCTAAAGGCTTTGTCACTTTTTCTGTGTACTATTCCAGACTAGGATGATGCAAATCTTTTTTACTCATTATTAAGCCGTGAGTTGACAGTGGAAAAACCTTGATCAGTGATTTTTTAGACTAAAAAATATCACTGGAATTGATTTGTGGTGATAAGTTTTTAAAACAAACAATAGTGTAGCTAATTATGTTTAAAAAAACGACGAGCATTCAAACATTTTTTTATCATAAAATTAAATAATTTTGAAGATCAGTCATTTATTTTGCTCTACGAATAGCACATTGTTTAGAAACTTGAGGCAGTACTCATCTATGTAATATAATTGGTACAATTTAACCCTGAAGACACTAATTTCACTGTCCATGAACTAGGAAACACCATTTGTGACGTCGAGGATACTTATTCTCACCACAGTAAAAATTATTTCTACACTTTTAAAATTAGAATCTCAATGTGTTAAATTCCAATTTTCAGATATTATCGGGAAAAGTAATAGCAAAATATAGATCTTCACAAACCCACAAATTTCGATAACTTTTTCCACGTTATTTTGAAATTTTTAAGCATCAGAAATTCTGTGAAGAAAAGATGCATGTGTTATCGTGGATTGAACGAACTGTTATTCCCAGTGCATTTTGTTTACCCTTTCTAGTAGCGGTAACTCTGTTTATAAGGTCTTTTAGCGTTTATGGCAATGAAGACGGCAATGAATCAATAGACAAAGGGTTGATCAATGCAACACTTCTTCTACCGTAACTCAAGATGTGAAGAGAAAGTGTTATGGAAGAAATCCGCATTGAGGATTTATTTATGAAAAATAATTTCATGACGGAGGTTTCATCTTGTTGCCGTAAATACGACATCACAATGAGCAACGTAGCACCAAAAAGTCCATTCGGTCCAGTGCCTGACACAAAGAAAAGACGAAGTCGTTTGTCCTGCCACGCGAGAAGTTGTGACAACGAATCCCTTCCCAAGAAAAACGGGTTGTTAAAAATATTCAAATGGTTCCAGGGGAAAGTGCGACGCTCAGATTCTCTGGGCACTTGCAGCAGAACGACCACCGACAGCGCGTCCACTCTTAGTGGTTCGATTCCAGACAATATTTTTGTGCCGCTCTGTAAGAGCAGAAGTGTAGATAACCAGAATACTTTCGATCAATCATTTGAAAGATCATCAGAAAAAAAGCATCGACCAAGTGATTTGCCCCGGTCAAATTCTTTTAAATGTGATAAAAGGTTTTCAAAAATCAGCACAAATGACAGTGGAATTTTGCGTTACGGTGAAGCTAAGACTTCAAGCGAAATTAAAAAGAGAAGTGCGCCTCAGCCTCCAAACTTATGCGACGAAGGAAGCGGCCATAATATTTCAGTCAATACTTCAAATGAGACAAGTACTAATCCTTTCTATGATAACATAAATTGTACTAGTGATGCAAAAAACAATCTTGCGGAGCTGGGTTCAAAGGACGGTAAGGAAGTAGGCCGTACCAAAAGAAAGGCCCCCGATCCTCCAATCACACAATCTGGAGCATCGCAGCAAACTTTTACAGTTCATTCAACTTTAACGTCTACTGAAATGTTCACTTCTTCTGTTAGTCTGCAGAATACAGCTCGTTCAGTCACGTCGACTCTCCGGAGTACGAACAGTCAAAATAGCTCCAGCTGTAGCATCAGTAGCACCACTTCTCTAAAATCTATCCGGATCGACCAAAACGGTAGCATCCACGAGTTCTCGAGCACTCAAAATCTTGAGCCAAATTCAAAATTTTCGAAACCTTGGTATAAACGAAGGACTAAAAGTAAGATCGCCAAATCTTCATCGAGAAGCGACCATGTAATTGACCAAGTTTACGAGTTCTGGAGACCTGAGTTGCAATTCAACGACGGCAAAATAGCCGTTTCGACAAATTCGCCTAATCATTGCAGGACAAGTCAGAATGAAAAATCCATCTTTCAAAAAGTAGTTGAATCTTGCAGAACTAAACGCAAGTCACAAATTTCCATGTTAGCAGGCCAGCTAGATGCTGAAGTAGATACAGCATTGAAAATAGTTCAGCCTGAGAGTGGAAGTCAATCAGTAGAATCGAACCCTCCGAAAACCCTCTACCTCAAGCAAGAAGACGTGAGTCAATCTTCTTCTGGCGCTGATCATACGTACTACAATACGCCGGGGAAACCCGGAGAGGCACAAAAAGAGCACAATTCTTCAATAAAACTTTCAGATTCAACGGATAGTCAGCAAACGAATTCATTTATAGGTAAATCTAAAAGTTCAACGGGATACAACCATGAAGCACACGGAACAGCTATAGTTAGAAGCAAAAACATAGAAACACCACGAGATTTTGCTGGAAAACCTCACAGCAGTAAACCCTCTGAACCGACTACGGCACAGTTGGATGAATTAGCTAGACGGAAACTTACGAATTCTCATGCTCAATGCCCAAGTTTGATTCAAATGGCTAATTTGGACGCCGAACAATTTTATAACTTAGCCAAGGACATCAAAACACCACTTGCACTGAAACAGTTACCTTCGACAGGGAAACAGTCGAGAGTTTTTTCAGGCATTACAACGCGCACAAATTCTGATAGAATCGCCTCCAATGCCCCCAAGAACTTCGGCTTACGAATGAACAATTTGTTCGCACCCGATGTGTCCGTTATACTAGAAGCTTCAGAGTCAGTGACGTCATCTAGTACCACTGCCATAGATGATTTTTTCAGCGATCTTAACTCAATCACTACTCAAAATATGGACGGTATTTATCAAGATGTTAGTATTCGAACTGAAACTTTTTGTGAGAATAATTGCAAGACTTCCTATGCAAGAGAAATAATGGAAGAACTTGCAGATGTTCAACAAGAAATACAGCGGATAAATGAAGAAGAGAAAAAAGAACAATTTTACAAACGAATGAGTGATAATATGGATAATTTTAATGCAAATGCCATAAAAAGCAACGTCAAACTAAGTCAATTGATTCCAAAGAATGTGTCGGATAACACATCTTTACTTTCGGAAAACAGCATTCCTCCTCCGCTGGACATCAATGCTAGACCAGAAGCAAAGCTACGGTGGCAATGCAATGTCTGCACTTTAATTAACTTGTCATGGAAGATTACATGCGAAGCTTGTTCTTCTAGACGTCCAACGAATCCTACAAGAATTAGAGAAGATGGTTCAATTATTTCGCCTCAGAGAGAAGTTTCTGAAGATGACGACTCACCCCAGTTCACTTTCTCAAATCATACAAATCAGGAAACTGCGAACAAAATATTAACAAGATCAGTAAGAAGCAAAGAAGTTGTGAGTGAACGACCTATTTCTGAGGTGCTGAAATCAGAAAGACAAGCGCGGTGGGAATTGGAACTCAAAAAGTACTTCGGTGGAAGTGACGGTAAGGCAACTCAAGATCCAATTGTTATTTTCAACAAAGTAAAGGAAAAATCAGAAGTCGATACGAGTGAACAATACTCACAGTTTAAGCGGAAGAATGAATCATCAGCAGCAGATTTGCATTCAGCTCTCAACGAAGTTCGAAAGTCTCGTGTGGCAAAGTTTAAAGAAAATCTTAGTAAATTTGAAACAGCAGGAGCAACTAAAATACAAAAAAACAATACAAAAATTGTTGAAACCAGATTAGAATTCCAAGACAGGGAATTAAGCAAGGAAATTGACTCATTTTTTACTCAGTACAACAATGATAGGAACTTCTACAAACGTGATAACCGAAAACGCTTGATATTAAGTCCGATTGGGGCGGTGAAGAATACAATTAATGTATTCGACCAGAAGCCTGGAACTGCACTTGATTGTCAACTGAATAAAAAAGAGACACGGAATATAAACAAAAACGTTGGATTGGTCAAAACCCAAACCAGTCTCTTTGAAGACAAAGTACCTTGCAATGAAATTAAATATTCAGGAGGAAAAAATGGTCGAAGTGCAAGGCTAACGCTGAAAAATCCTGACATTGATATTTCCTCTGCAATTTCAAAGTTCGACGAAATGGCAGCACTGGCGGAAGTGGAGAGATTGAGACCTAAACTTACCAAGCCAAATGTAGCCAAGCCATCACGGAAGCTTATTATCCACACTAAAGACAACGTTAACAGCTCTTCCTTCAATTTTAGTCGAATTTCAGATGCAAATTCTAATACAAATGTTGAGAATAAATACAAACCCGCTACAACCGCCAACAGTGGCAATGACCTGGGGCGAGATGCCCGAGTGTCAACACCTGCAGCCCTTCCCTCTAGAAACATTAACGGCGATGAGCCGGAAATTCTGAATAGCCCTCCGGTAGAAGAAACAGTTATGGAAGACTTAGAGATACATCACTCGCTTTCTGTGCTACCGAACTCGTTTGAGTTGATAGAAGATTCCGAGTTTCAAGAGATAGAAGCCGTGCATAGCCAGAGAGCTTCCCCCATAAATGTCTACTTTGAAGAAGCGTGTCAGGCAGACTGTGATTCAGACGGGACTGAAGATTTTGCTGACGCATTGTCTGTGGATGTCATTAACGACTTCAATCAGGCTGAAACTAATATTTCAGGAAATATCATGACTCAAACTAGTGGCGGTGACCAAGATTCCCTGAACAAGAGCCAACAACTGCAAGCTGCGGAAGAGCTCAAGCGTCGACTCACTCTCAAAAAAGGAATTGACGATCTTAAAGGTGAGATTAATGATGTATTACCGAAATTAATTCCTCCAACCTGCTTGGAAAAATAAGTTAGGTTCTTACAACCATTTCCCTGACTTGATCGTTATCTTAGGTACCTGTTCACTGACTCATTGTACGTCTATTGTGTATTGTGTGTCGTGTCTAGCGCCTAGTTAATTGTCTTCTCTTTAACATTGAAATTAAATAGACTTACAAGGAATTACGAACGTTACGCTGAATTCTATTTCAATTCGATCCGAATGCGTTGAAATTAATTATTATTTGAAGATTATTGTCTAATACCCTGCTGAAATTTGAAAATAGTGGAGGGAATTGTTCAATTTAATCAGAAGCATAATTTCTTAAGACAGAGTATAAGTGAAATCAGCTTTTCACATCCACATTACCAGTTTAGTAGATAACATTTATTGTAGAAATTTGTATCTATTAATTATTGCAACACTCCCACTCAACTCCCACTCGCCCCATCCCACTCAACTGAAGCGCGCGTGAACGAAGAATTAACCTGCTTCATTTTTCATTTACTCGTTATTTTTTATCTCAAATTTTCCTCTAGATAGACTTCGCTACTGCAGTTTCATTGAAAGCTTTTCGAAAATCTTAACACAAGAAGAGTATAATTTGATTTTGAGGTGGAACAACCGTGAAAGAAAGTGCTAAGCACAAAATTTATAGAAATTCGAAATTTAGTACATGTCTGATAAAAATCCACGTGGAATAAAACTTATTGATATCATAAGTCCACCAAATTTTAAAGCACTAAGGATTCGTTGATGCCTATAATTATTATTTGGAGTGTGCATTTCAAGTCCGTGTCGATTAGGCCGCCCTTTCACTTTTTTATAAATTGGATTCTACGTGACTTGATCAAATTTCACCAAAAAATCTGATTGCTGGAATCAGATTTTCAAAGCATTCAAGACTACTTTTTGAGGGCTACTTTTGTATGAAAGTGATGCCAAAAATAGATTTTACAATGTTTTTGAAAATTCAACACTAAATGACCATTTTCAGGCCATAGCAATTGTTGAATGCGAAACAAACACATTCCACTGCATGCCGCCGAGTTGAATGCTCTGTTATAGCATGCCATTATCATTCGAAAATTAATACAATTTTCCATTAAATAAATATCCATTTTTATTTATTCATTGCAATAGATCCGTCAAAAATATTTCCAAACAGAAAATGGGTATAACATCCTTTCATTTGATTTTCCGATACAACTTGAAACATTATTCGAATAGAGATATTATTCACGCTAATAAACTTTTATATTCGATGACTGGAATTGTATTTTAATCTTTGCACATTGGTTCAAAATATTGCCTATAATGATCACGTTCACTTTTTTTTCGTTCAATTTTTTCCATTACAATTCAATATTAATATTTATCCATCACATCGTTTCACTAGACTCGCAGCTAAATAAACCATCATTATTTTTGGAAACAAGTATGATTGTAGGCGTTCTTTGCATGAAGTTTCAAAAGCTACCATCCTTGAATACGAAAACTAAACAAATACGAATATGAAAACCAAACGAATACTTTATTTTCTTGCTATATTGAAAAGAATTAAACGGAGTTAACTATTGACTTCAATAGCAATCATTTTTCGTGCGTGTTATGAACATTTCGATTACTGTATGTTTATCCTACCGTTTGGTTCACACTAAACTGTCATATGCCAGTCGCAATTCATGATTTTTGTAAACAAGCATGATTGTCGGCGCGTCCTTTGCAAGAAGTTTCAAAAGCTACCATCCATGAATAAGATATGGCCATATGAAAACCAAACGATTATTTTATTTCCTTCCTATCTTAAAAAAAACCTTAAACCGAGTTAACGCTTGACTTCTGTAGCACTAATTTTTCGTGCTTATAAAGGGGATTTCGAATAATCCTACCGCTTGGTTCACATTAAACTGTCATATGCCAGTCCCAATGTTTACTTGTAAATCATGTCTTCGTTTATTTTCTATGAAACTACCTATATATTAAGGTAGAGGTTATATTTTCCATCAATAAATATATATTTTAATTAGTTTCCTAATGAATTCTTTTCATTTGCAATTTGAGTCGCTATCCCATATATAATTAATTTCCTCGCTGTTTAATTCATGAACTTAATGTGACAACGTTTATTGAAGAGGTCCATAATTTTTTTATTACTTTACACAAGACAAAATTGCCAATATGTAAGAGTTAAAGATACAATTTACAAATTCTTAAAATACCCAGCATACCAATATTAAAAAATACACTGCATACCAATCATGTCCCGGTCAACATATCTTTTGCTTTGACCGTGACTGGCACGGTTGGTGTGAATGTTTCTATAGAAATTCATTGAAGAATATTGAACTTGACCGTGACTGGCACGGTTGGTGTGAATGCTTCTATGGAATTCATTAAATAATATTGAACTTGACCGTGATTGGCACGGTTGGTGTGAATGTTTCTATGGAAATTCATTAAATAATATTGAACTTGACCGTGATTGGCACGGTTGGTGTGAATGTTTCTATGGAAATTCATTAAATAATATTGAACTTGACCGTGACTGGCACGGTTGGTGTGAATGCTTCTATGGAAATTCATTAAATAATATTTAACATGACCGTGACTGGCAGTGTGGTGTGAATCAAGCGTAATTTTCCACGATTCAGTTGGTATTTTCCCACTAACATGCAAATTAAATTGTTGTTTTAAGCTACTGAGCAACACATCGAAACATACTATATTTTACGCTTCTTCTTAACTTTTAACAGCGCAAGCCCTAATATAGCTCTATATTTAGGAATGAAAATTCATAAGTGACATTGGGTAAACGCGCTCCCATACAATTATTTTTAAAATTATTTGACAATAATAATTGTTTCTGTCTGTCTCGAATTACTGATGTGTAATTCCTAGATTTATTCTGAATGGAATTTCATATAATATTTAATTGATATATTCCTGTTTCGAACAGCTCTCGGTATTCACCTAACAGTAATATACTAAATCTAATAGAAATACTGAAATTCGATGCTAGCAAAACTTCTTGACCATTTACTTGTGTTTTCCTACTCAGCAACAATGAGTGCAGAAAGTTCATGTTGGAGTGATACCAACGCCATGAAGATGACCTACCTCATCAAGAAACTGGAATCTGCGATAGAGAGAGGCAGCAGCAGTCAAGCCACAAGTATTTCCCGAGAACTTGCGGAATTTGCCGCTTCTTGTAAAATTGCAGGTTCCGATAAAGATGAAAACGATACGCAAGAAGCCAATGACTCGAAATTTGCTTCCATGGACTCAAGCCAAGCATCAAATGTCACATATCCACCACAAAGAGAACACGATACGAAACAAGCGGCTGATCATAGCCATCCGACAGCTCCAGATCCGCATTCACAACCTGCTGTGAATAAAAATCGACTCGTAACTCCTGGTTTTGAATCAGAGACAGAACATCAGTCTTCAAGTATGACTGCAGATGTAGATTTACATAATACTGTGATAGTAAGAGATAATAAAACCTCCTTTGAAAGAAGAAAAGTTAAATCCGACACAGTTTCGAAGCTAATAGAGTCTGAGCCTTCTGAATTAGCTGCTGGTCCGTCAAGTTTCAGGTATGTATTAAAAGCTAAATATGCCGCGCATATGAATAGAAATAATGATAATTTGAAAGGTAATTAATCGTGAGGGAACTCCATTCGGAAACTTTTGTTTATAAAATATAAAAATTAGTATTGCATAACCTTAACAAATCAGTGAAAATATGTGTCACCTTCCCCAACGAACTAAACAAAATTGTGCTACACTTTGCATAGCATAACCATTACTTAACCTATATTGCATTTCCGCCTCATATGCACATGGAATTCACAAATTAAAATCAATGGCGGTCTAGATTTAATTAAGTTAATTCTAATGCTCAAAAAATTATTTTGAAAATTGCTTCTTCTGTAATTTTGTTGCAGGGTGCAGCTGTTCATTGAAGACAGGGCGAGTCACAGAGGGCCTCTGCCCATATATGTTAGTTCCAGCATGACCGTCGGCGAGCTGCGCTCTACGGTGAGCCATGTCAACAAAATTAAAAATTTGTCCGCACGTGAAGGATTAAGTATCACCGTTCATGCCATGTTATAAATAAATCATGCTTTCCATATTTACCTTTCAACTTACCTGTGATTGTTAGCACATTACAAATATAGCACTACATTAAAAATTGCGCACAATATGTCCTAATAATATTGAGAGGCACAACACTCCAAGCTCTTTAGAAGATGACTTAATTTAATGACGCACGCGTGAGTGAAACAGAATTGCCATGATTTTCCTGTGCAATACTGATTTTACTTAGGAGCAGATTGGTTAAAAAAATGTATTAAACCATTCCTAACATGATTTACCAAACCTTTAAATCGACAATTTTCAGACTACGTGGACATATTTACGTTGTTGCAAATCTGGTGCGATTTCAAACGATTATTTTTCCTAGTAATTGTTGAAATGAGATGTAATCATTTCAAAGTATATAAATATAAATTTATACTTTTTAAATTGTTGTTACTCAAGAGCGCTTAGAAGCATTATAATTATCATTACCAGACGGTCGCGAATAAATTCCATGTCGTATCATCAGGTCTACGCTGCATTCGGATTCCCTCCTGAGGTGCAGCGTTGGATCCTAGGACGCCGCCTCGCGGATGACGACCAAGCGACCCTCGCGCAGCACAAAGTAACTCGGGAGGGCTGTCCTGTTTTCTTGTACCTCGTAGCCCCACCTTCCAGTTACACCACTGATCCCCAAGAGGATCAAGAGTCCGATGACATGAATGAAAGAGAAGCATCACCTAAGCCGGAACTTTCCAGCAATCAAGGATCTCCGCATCCACGAAATGAAGTACCCAGCCGGCTGGTCTCACCCCTCGCAGCAGCTAAGAATATTTATAAAAAGAATATCGGCTCTTCTGCCATCACCGCTGAGGATCCAGTTATAGGTAATGAATTAATCAAAAGAGAAATAAGGGAACTCGATTCCAAGGGTTATCTTTCAAAAATTGATAATCAAGATCCAAAGAAAGCAGTTCCATTGGTCAAAAACAATGGGTTGCAGAAAATCGTTGGTATCGAGGCTGGAACGAGAGACAGTGACATCACTGGACATAAGAAGCCCGCGGGACCCGTCTCCAAAAATGTGGCGAATCAAACTAGGTCGAAATTCGAAACCGAAACAAACACAACGATTTCATCGACAGACCTTCCAAATACCACCTATTCGGAAAGTCGGTCACCTAAATCAGCCAAGTCCGATAAATTTGAAATGAAAAGAGGTAAATGCGCTTCCAGTGATTCCCGAAAACCTGAACCAGAGATTCCGGCGTCTCCAGCCAAAAATGGATGGAGCTGTAAGCAATGCACCTTTGTTAATAATGAGGGTCGCCCGGGCTGCGAAGTTTGCGGAGCCGAGAAGCCCGAGGTCCCTGGAGCCAGCAGCTGCAACGCTGGTCAACCTCAGGTCAGTGATTCAAGGGACCCACGTAGGGAGGAAGCGTTAAGTTAACTCAAGTTAATCAATCGAGAAATACCGAAGGGTGATAACGGAAACATTTATAAATCAATTTCCTTGTTTACACTGCTGCATTACGGGTAAATTATTACAATTCTATGAATGTCAAATAATATATTGATTTATTCTTTAGGTTACAGAGCACTTGGGCACAGCGGTTTCCGCACTTGAGAAGAACGCATTGGTCAGCTGCAATGAATCGTTCGAGTGCCGAGTTTGTTTCACTGTAGTGCCACGCAACGCCGGGGTCGTCCTGAGAGAATGCTTGCATGTCTTTTGCAGGTAACGTATTTCTCGAGTTTTCGACTACGTAAATATACATAATTTTAACATTTTTCATGATCATTAATTGCCAGTATGTATTATTGAACCTTCATACAGGAACCTCTCCTGCTAGAGGCAAAACTTAAATTAGAATGTGCCGTTAAATATGTATTAAATCTCAGTTTATGATATGTGATTGCGAAGTAATAATCTAAATAACCCGAATAGCAGCAGTTTTTTGTTGCTTACAATAACCCCAACTTGAATTGTTGCTGTTTAAGTAATGCTCGTCGACCAAAAAATACGGTTTCTTCTACACCACGGATGCAAGTATTTTCTGCGATAATTAAATACTACCCTCGTTATTCCCATCCAGAACTCTCTATTTTAAGTCAAAAATAATGATCATGTCCTTCCCATGCAGTATTAGTGATTATCTAATAGTTGTGGTATTTATCATCATATGTAATACTTGATGAGAATAATTCTAATTTATGAGAAAAATTTCCTGCTTACCGCCGCTTCAACAACAGAACATTCAAGGCTTTTTTATTTGAACTTTACTGAAGGTTCTGCTCCAAAAATGCAGTCTTCATATCCTCGACCATGAAAGAGACACATCGGAGAAGTGCATACGAAATAAGAGTTGTCTTCGTAACGGCTGCAATCGGAATTGTGATCATTTGCTAATAATTTTTCCGACATTCTGCTACTACTTTTGGCTCCCCAACTGCTTTGTTTGTGTGAGTGCCGCTAAAATCTACAGGGTTTCGCTTGTTTTTTATCAATTCACTGACAATCTACTTCTCTTTACGTTTTGTGCACTAACCGTTATAACGTCTGTAAGAATTTTAACTTTATTTTTACATTCATGAGATATGAGAAGCCTTATCTAGCTGAATCAGAGCTTAAGGGGAGCGTCTTGGTCCGAAAAAAAAATTTTTATTTACGGACGGATCACTTCGAAATTTAATACACGTATGCAAAACGAAATTCTAAGACTTTTTTGTTCATGTGAATTTTTCGAAAAAAATGAAAGAAAACGAGAAATTCTTAGAAAACGGACAAAAAAGGGGGTACTGTAGAAATATCAGCGGGCCTAGGATTTTCAAGCTACAACATCGAGACACGTATTATTCGATGCGTAAAGACCATATCTACAAATTGCTGTAGGCGTTTTTTTAAATTTCCAATTTTGTGGGTGTGGGAGCATTTTTTGTAAATTTTTCGGAAATTTTTCGATTTTACCCCATTCCACCCCCCCTTTTTGCAAAATAAAATACAAACTATAACGAAATTAGAAAAACGCTTACAACAATTTGTAGATCTTTTCTTTGCGAATCGAATGGTATATGTCTCATTGCTGTAGCATCGAAACTGTAGGAGTAAATAGGTTTCCAGTGACAAGAAGTGTGAATGTTCAGTAGAGCCCAATAAAGTCCCGGGCGCCTCGAAATCAGCATTCAACACTGCAAGGAATGAGACTAGACGACACTGGAGCTCAATTTCTGTCAAGGATGGTACGAGCGACGGTGCAAAAACCACCCCGTACGACTGCAGCAAGGTTACTGGAGCTGAGTGTCTGTAGATAAGTGATTTATAGTGCACTGCGGGAATTATTCCCCATCTTAAATGTGAAAGAAACTTCCCCACCCCCTCCTTTTCGGGATCTGTCGTGAACGCATAAATCAACGTACAGAGATGGTTTTGGTACCGTTGGATAGGTCAGAATGTCAGCTTTAAGATGAGACTAAAAACAGGAAAAGCCTAAATTGTCGATTTTGGACCAAGACGCTCCCCTTAACTTGACTTAATTCTTTATACACCTGCTGAGACTCCAAATATTTTTATCTCATTAAACTAACTACACTTCAAGCTAATATCGTTGAAACCAATTCAATAAGATAAAGCATACGTACTCAGAGCAGTCTTGGCAGTGAATGACTCGTATAGCTTCATACGGATTATATTGAGTGCATGAGTGTGTTTGCCTCATCTAGAATAGAATAGAATAGAAGTGTCGGCGTTGAAGAAATAGGCCCATGGCCTGTTGCCGATTCATGAACTTTTCGTGACTTGATTCACAAGGGATCCGGCCTTTGGAACCGATCTTTCTATAGCTGACGATTGATTGAGATAGCTGCTGGAGCTGCTCTTAATAGATTGTTCAGCCATAAATACCACAATAATTCAGTCAGAACTTCAGTCCCATGCAGTTGGTGAGTTGATATAATCGATGTCAGGGTATTTAATTAGACATATACGCAATTAGACATATTAGCGATACGTCAAGGGTGTAGCATTTTTCTTCCTTATTCAGATATGTTCGATGAAAGAGGTATGTTATTGTTTGTAAAAAAAAGAATGCATTATAAAGAATTGTGCAGCTTCTATCTTTTGAAGTGTAATTCGTTTGTTCTTAAATATGTAAGATAATAGAAAAGGGATTTCGAACGAAAAATTCTCTTATTCTCCAAATTCAATTTTTTCACTACTTTTGCAAATGGCACTAATCATCCAAAAGCCTTGTGCCCATTAATAGCTCCGATAAAACGTGTGGATACTAATGGCAAAAATGTTAATGTTATTATTTTAATGTAATTAAAATGACATGTTTTTCTCACCAGAGAATGTCTGGCAAACGCCGTGCGCTACTCGGACACAGCGGCCGTTAAGTGCCTCTACCGCGACCATCAGTATTCGTGTGATGCGACCATCCAGGAGAGAGAAGTTAAAGCGGTGAGTTAGCTCGCCTTCTCTACTGACATTTATGTCCGCTCGACAGCCACTCGGGCACTTCGCGTGATTGGCGGAACGCCCATTTTAGTTATCTCGTTTCGTACCACCTAATTCATCTACATCTTTTCGTTATGGAACAAGAAACTTTTAACACGGCAGGGTGGCCCAGTGGTTACAGTTCAAAGTAGCAAGAATGGAGCAGAGAGGCGCGGGTTCGATCCCAGCTATGTGCGCCAGTTTCAGGTCAGAATCGGCGTGGAGGCCGGGCGGTTTAGCAAAGCAAAATTGAAGTAATGAGTTGCGCGTTCGAGACCGCAACAAGCTGTGAATATTTTGGGATGTTGAGAATCGGCAACAGGCTTTCGGCCTAATAAACGCTGAAACCGCTATTAACACAAATTGCGGCAGCAGCTTTTACTTTTTTCAGAAGCAGTTTTGACTCACAAACCATCAACCGCATCGCCAAGTAAACCATGAACGCTGCGTAGAATACGTTTTGAGAGTGCTAGGTTGACGAGGGCGTCTGCATTCTCTTTCTCACTATGGCACAAAATGAATTACATGAGTTTAAAGAAACAACTGCAATATATAAAATGGAAAGCGCACTTGCATCGATTGCTCCACTCTCCACATCGAATTGAGCACTGTAATTCATATGGAACTATTAGGCCACTAGCAAGCGCCTGAACCTCGATCATGTTTTGCACACATTATTGTTGTTATTTATTGTTTATCAGACATGTTTCTTCTGCTTAATGATGCAACGTTGTGCATTCTAGGCTTGGTCTCTGCGATTTGTGATTCCGCCGTCAGGCCATAGCTTGTGTGCTTAATCATAGGCTATGTGTGCGGTAGTAATGAATATTGAAGTTATCCATTAAAAATACATTATTAATCCTCCGGGACCCAGAACCTCCCGTACTATATACAGAGTACCAAATGGGGTCACATTTGACCTCGAACGTCTTTTGTCATAAGACGTGTTTATAAGGTTTAAAATTACAATGGTAGGATTAAAAATAAAATCTGAGAAAGAAACAATGAATAACTTCGGTAGAAAATAATTTGTGTAAAAAATTTAACATCCACAAATTTTCCCAAAATATGATCATAAATAACCCCATGCCCGCAAAAAATTACAAGTAGACTACTAAAATAATTATAATAATTATTTCTATAATAAATAATAATAATACAATAATGATAATAATATAATACAAATATTCCTTTTTAATACCTATTCAATGTTCTATGTATCATTTCAGGAAGGTAATAAGAATTTGGGAGATATTTAACCATTTTTCCAGAAATTGTCACAAAATTTCATACTCTGTGATCATTTTCGACCTCATTATGGGTCTCGGAGGGGAGGGTGTCATGGAGCATATCAACTATCTCGAAAAAGAATTGCCTGCAGTAAAATCAATAGTGGAAACTCTTGATTTAAAAGTAACTGAGGAAATGATAGAAGTGAATTCAAAGTTGGATTAAACTGGTAAGTCCCAATAAAGCGTTGATCCTTATAATATAAAATCACTCTAACTGTTTTGAAGCCGTTACGCAATGTATTTCTCAGCTGGTGACAGCGGCAGAATACGAGGCACATCTCAAGAAGTCCGTGCAGCAAGCAGCCGTGGCCATGCAGAATGTCTTCCACTGCAAGACGCCGGACTGTCCGGGTTTCTGCGTATACGAGGACAACGTGAACACCTTCCTGTGCAGCGTGTGCTATAAACAAAACTGTCTCACCTGCCAGGTATGGTACATTATAATGTTTTGTTTAAGATTAAGTGTCTGTAATAGTAAATATTTTTTATTTTATAATGATGTATGTTTGCAGCGTCAGTTTTGAAAATATTTGGTCAAAAGGCCAATTTTTAGATTTCCTGTGAGCAATTCACGAAAAGAACATGAGTCACCAACAGACCATGGGCCTACATTCTAATGTTTTGTTCAAGACTGAGTGTCTCAACCGACTGTAAAAATGGACATTTTTTATCTTATAAAGATGTATATTTTTGCAGCGTCAGTTATGAAAAGTTTTGGTGAATAGACCAATTTTTAGATTTCCTGTGAGCAATTCACGAAAAGAACATGAATCACCAACAGGCCGTGGCCCTATTTCTCCAGCGCCGACTATGTTATGTCTTGTTAAAAATTGCATTGATCGATTTCAGAAAGCCTGTCCTTAGACAAAGAACATTTATTTTACATACGGTTATTATTTTAAATTTGATCAAATTAAATTAATTTAAAGATTGCCAACAACATTGGTCTCCAGTATCGGCGAACTGTTAATTGGTTATTCAACGAATGACACCTAATTTAGCTTTCATCAATTCGAATACCATTTTTTTGCCATCATAACAGGATTCTATTTAAAATGCCCGATGGTCCTGAAACATAAATAATTATTTCATTTCAACCTACAAAAGTTGCAAAAACACTGCCGACAATTCATTCAATGACTAATTTGTAGATAATGTGAATTAAAAGCGACATCTAAAATATATATTCGCCTTTTAATTATTATATAATAAAATTGTCTGCTGCTCTCACTTATGGTCTATTTTGCTCGGTCTTTTATTGTGTTTTCAAACGGATCAACCTTCAAGTACGAGGAAAATTCACAAAGTTCGTGGAAAAAAAAACATTAGAAAATTATAAGTCATAAGACATATTTTCATACATTAGCTCTATCTAGGTCGATACATTTCTGTGTGAACGCTGATATACGAGCCTTTAAGTCCATCTGTGTAAAATTGAGTGATGCAATTTGAACCATGCTACATTTGATGGAAACTGGGTGCCTTTCGATGATTTTTTCAACTTTGGAAATAAAGAGTAGTCGGATGGGGCTGAGTCAGTCCAATAAGTTGGATGCCAGATAATTTTCCCATCGAGATTCGCGTAGCAGAGCCCCTGTGTGCCGACCGCCGCATGTGCGAGTGCAATGAGGTGGTAGACGAGTGAGCGCCGATGCTGCTTCTCAATGCTTTTTTCGGCGATTTTCCTGGAAAATTTCATCAAAATTTCTTCATAATGAACAGCTGTAATATTTTACTTGTTTTCGAGGAAATCAAATAACAAAATACCCTCTGAAGCCTAGAAATCTTTAATTTTTAACGTTCAGATTATTCTTTGACGGGCCAACTTCCTCCCGGTCGAACAACCACTGCTTAACGATCGAGTTTTATCCTCGGGATCCTACTTACTGGTAGAGCCATATTTCATCCATGGTCACAATCCACGATAGAAAAAGTTCAGGGTTCTCAACCAACTTATTCGAAATTTTCGGTCCTTGATTCCTTCTTATTTGGGGGTAACTGCCTTGGAACCCATCATGCGCATAGCTTGCTCAGTCCCAAGGTGCGCACCAGAATTATGTGTGCGCAACCCACGGAGATATTGAGAGTCTCTGCTACTGATTCGGTGGTTATTCGCCTATACTTTCAATGAGATCACGGACAGCATTAATGTTTTCCTCGCAAACTGATGAGCATTTCCTGTCTCTGCAGTTGTCATCTATGGTCTCATATCTTTCGCTTCTGAAACGACTAATTCATTTTTAGGTTTCGCACTGTTTGAGGCACTGTTACCATAAACTTATTCCAGAGAGTCAAGAATTGACTCACTCTAATTGATCCAACCATGAAATTGATGTTGGAACTGGCCTCTATTTCGGCAGATGCCTCGATCGTTGCATGACCGGTTGTTGCTTTTACTAAGAAAAATCGAATAGAGAAAGGCACACGAGACCTTTTAAACGGGTTGAACCCGCACTCAAACGGACTCGTCTTCTCTCGTCCTTTGTCGCTTTTAACGCTTAAATCAGCCTCCCTCGCATGTGACACTAATAAAATGGCTCATGTGAGAACACGATAAAAAAATTGATACAGGATCGTTCTGGCGCATTGGCCAAATTTTCTTTTCAATAAATTTTAAGTTGTGTAGATTTTCCACGAACTTTTTGAAGCTCCCCGCTCATAAACAAGTTTACATCACTTAACTTTCCACTTCACATCTGAAGCCAAGAAATTAATGGCGAAACGAAAGACGATTCGGCGAATCAATCACTGATACGGTGAAACAATCATTGATGATTAATGAAACTTGTATTTTGCAGAATTTTTAAAATGATGATGGGGCGCTATATTTAGTTTCTTATAAGTTTTCAATTAAACCATAGTGAATTTACTTGTCATTTCCTTTACTTTGTTTTAATTTATAATGATACAAATATCTTCTGACGCTATTACAGGCGCAACACACTGGTCTGTCATGCAAGAATTATCAAGATTTAATTGCTCAAAAAGAGGACATCGACTCGCTAATGACGCAAAAGTTTTTCGAGGTAATTAACTTGATCATTTTTATTTGTAATTAGATAGCCAGCAGTTCATATATGCTTCGCAATACCAATCAAAAACATAATTAGTTGCTTTGTTTTTAAATGATCGTTGTTTTTTTAAGGATAACCATAGGCGAAATTTTTACTAATTCAGAATATAAACGTTGTGGTCACAGGCTGTAGGGACCGAGATAAATTTTTTTCCTAACTTCTACATATGATAGCCACATGATGCATACCTCGAAAAGGCTCTCTTTACTAATTACCGGGTATATTGGCCGGCGGTCGTGGATGCATGTCCCAGGGCATGATATGTTTGCAAATTTCAGATTATTATGGACGTGATCACAAGATGGATGAATTATTTTTAGCGCGTTTTCTCATTTATGGAAAAAATATAACTCCGTACTCACTGCAGTGAGTGACAGAGAGAGCGCATATTTTCGTCGACGAAAACGTGAAGTCACGGACAGACGGACAGACAGATGGACATGACGAGCACAACAGCGCCTTTTTTCCATAAAGGAGAAAATGCGCTAAAAAGGCTCTATTGTGCTTGCCATGTCCGTCTGTCTGTCTGTCCGTCTGTCCGTGACTTCACGTTTTCGTCGACGAGAAAATGCGCTCTCTGTTACTGACTGCAGTGAGTACTGAGTTATATTTCTTCACTATTAAAATCACTTGTTCGCTTGAATCGCAAGTTAACCAGGAATTTAAAAGCAAAGAAAATACCACAAAAAATTCAAAGATATGGTGAATTTTTGTGGTATTTTCTTTGCTTTTAAATTCCTGATTTCTTCACTAATTTCAGGACATGATCGCCGGGGGCCACGGGATGCAGTGTCCTCAGTGCAGCGTGATGCTCATGCGCAAGTGGGGCTGTGACTGGATGAGGTGCCCGATGTGCCGCACTGAGATCTGCTGGGTCACGCGAGGACCCAGATGGGGACCCAAGGTTTGTGTTTCTATTGTATATTATATTATATACTGATATATTCTCCATGGAAAACAAAATAGAACTCTAACCTGAGAAAATCGTGCTATCTGGGTCACATGGGGACCCAGATGGGGACCCAAGGTTTGTGTTTTTATTGTATATTATATTATATACTGATACATTCTCCATGGAAAACAAAATAGAACTGTAACCTGAGAAATTCGTGCTATCTGGGTCACGCGAGGACCCAGATGGGGACCCAAGGTTTGTGTTTTTATTGTATATTATATTTTTTATATTAGTTTTAGATGGCAGAATTTGTTGATTTATACGAGTGCGATTAATGACCAGATAATTCGTTGATTTAAATTATCAAAAAGTCGGACAATTCTTCAGATGACGTTAGTAGATCAAAAGGCATATATTATATATAATATAATATTGTGTATTAAATTATATAGTATACTGATAAATTCTCAATGGAAAACAAAATAGAACTCTAACCTGAGAAATTCGTGCTATTTGAGCACCTATTTTATGTAACAATTTCTTATTCGAATGAAACGATAAAGTTTACACAATTTGATCATTAAATTTTTATTCTTCTGCTTAGCTAGAATTAAAATGTTTGCAAATCTAATCGCTACTAGGGTTTATGTAGCACTACAATGTTGATTTATGCTGCGTGAAGGCCGTTTTATATATATGGTTGGTGTCGTAAATTTTTACAGAATTTTTTGTAACGCTTAAATGCACATCGAATTGGATATTATTTTAGTTTCAAATTTTGACTTAAATTCAATATTCATGTACTTGTGCCGAAACTTCATAAATAAGATTCAATGCATATACGTTGCCTATGGTCTATAGATTATTTGTCCTCAGCACCTCTTATCTTGCTAGCTTACAATGTCTTCGCGAGTGTGAGAGCCATCGTGCATGAGCCGAAAATAATATAATTCATAATTACATTGCAAGGTTATTTTTTGCTTTTACACCATTTTATTCCTCTGATATTCCATGTTTGATGAGTTTTCTCCAATTCTACAGATAGCAACAACTTCTCAGTATATCAACTTATACTGAAACTCAATTTTAGCTTTAACCGCTAATGCTATTAAAGGTATCACAACTCACGGATATGGATTTCCTGACAGGGGACTGGCGACGTCTCTGGCGGGTGTCAGTGTGGAGTCAACGGCCGCAAATGTCACCCAAAATGCACTTATTGCCACTGATGCAGGATTCGGTTGTTACTGTTGGACGAATCCAGAAAGTATGTTTCTAAATTCAAGTTGCGCGTTTGCACCATACAAATGAGACGTAAATATTATCCAGCAATTTTAATTCTGTTACAATGCGACCGTACTCCTAATATTCCTGAAGCATACCATTCTCTGGTTAACCTCAATCGGAAGTTTACTTTTCGCTCTTACAGTGTAAAATTTTACCTTTCAGCTCAAATATTGAAGAGTCTATGTATTACCGCAACCTGGCTTGGTCATATTCATGAGTGTGCAACAATTATTTCTCAATTGACGTAATTTCATAATTTTTACAGAAATAAGGACACCATAAATAAATAAGAAAACAACAGTAACATTTCACTCAGCGACGATTGGGCAGTTGCGGATGAACCCTTATCTCGCTCTGACAAAGCCTGACTTCTGAAGATGAGAAACCCAAATTTCCGAGCGGCCAGTAAAATTTATTCAGCGTCGGAGTTTTTTTTTTATAAAATGACAGCTTTTAAGTGTTTAATGACTAAAGAATGGTACTTGCTGAAATAAGGCGCTCATTATTACGAACCTCATCTTATGGCGCAGACGACAAAGTTTACCATGTGTTTCGCCAAGCGATACCTGCTAAAATATTTTTGTTGCGTTCACGTTCTTGTGCCGTCATTTTGTACATTAAAATTTATGATAATTAAGCATCTGTTTTGTTAGAAAGATCTAATATACAATCATAAATCATATTTCTATTAAATTATCCTATGATTTTCTTTTTAAAACATTTAAGACATCAAGTTTGAGTTTATATGAAGGCATCTCGTGATATCGAGATGCTTCCATTCAATTTGTAAATAATTGTAGAAGTGCAAAATATTTGCTGCTGAGGAATATATTTAATACTATCTATGGACTGCATTACACTCGTAACATATAATTTACCATTATTACATATATTTATGATCCAGTAGTCACAAACAAACCTTGCATTTTTTGCATGAAATGAAGATTGACTTGCTAAGTTGGATTTCATATACTTTTTATCCTCCGCGTACCTTGTGATCCAAATAATTTAGATATTCGAAACGCGCTAGCTTTGCGGAATTCCCTAATAATAATATAGTTTCTTCCTCACTTCTATTGTACTGTAGTAGAAACACATCGGAACTGACGAGCACTGCAGGTTGATACTAATAGCTGCGATTGTAATTCTGTATTCGTGATACGCGCCAATCGAGCATTGGTGATATGATTTAAAGCGGACGGTAAAAATTTTGTGCTCTAGGATCGATGGCGACGAACGTACACCGTATTCGGCCTGGGGACCGAATTGGAAATTACCTGGTGCTGGATGTTATTGGGGAAGGCAGCTACGGACGTGTGTTCCATGTTCAGGACAAAAGATCGCATGAGGAGTTTGCTCTCAAATTCGAAACGAAGAACCGAAGTTTATTGCAACATGAGAGTCAAGTGATTAATGAAATTCATCGAATAGCACCTGGCGGATTCGCTCCTGAAATACCAGCAGCTAAAATTGTTCATATTGAAAATGGTGTCTAAGCTTTAGTAATGGACTTAAAAGGCCGCACTCTGAGGAGCATTTAGAAAGAACAAGGCGGCAAATTTGAGCCATAGCAAACTTGCTGTATGATTGCAAACATTTTGAAAGGACTTGAGGCAGTGCATCGCGCTGGCTACGTTCACGCAGACATCAAACCCACAAATCTCCTCTTCGACTCAGGAACCATCATGGATTAAGTTCTCCGCAAAATTTTCATCGTAGACTTTGGTTTGAGCCGAAAATATCTAGACAAAAACGGACAGCACGTCCCATTATTGTACCGTCAGGGAACTCGAGGCACGCTTGCTTACATGTCGATCAACACGCAACAAGGCATCTCCATGTCTAGGAGAGATGATATCGAAAGCCTGTCTTACGTTGCAATATTCCTGGCCAAAGGCTCTCTGCCGTGGAGCCAAGTCAACTTGCAAGACAAAGCAAAGATGTACCAGGATGCTCTCTTTCTCAAGAAACGTGTCAATCAATACGAACTTTGCAGAGAGCTACCTCCAGTGTTCCTAGAATTTTTGAAATACGCTCGTCAAATGAAATTTGCTCAACAGTCCGAATACACCCCATAGATGAAAAGGTTTATAGCAGCTTCAAATAACCCCCCCCCCCTCTGCTGGCCATCATTCCTGGTCTACGGCACAAAGCTACTCGCTCGCCCGACGCCGGCCAACGTCTTTTTCCAGTGAAGAGACTTACTCCTCAGCTGGCTTTCCAAAGCAGCCCGTCAAATAGGATGAACGAGACGTCAGAGAATCGGAACCGGTCAGACCAAAAATTTACAAGGTTTAGCAACCTTTGTAGAAGCCAGTGCAATCATCTTCAACCAAAAGTACACCAAACTTCACATACGATGAAAGTTGTAGCGGGTTTCAACACCACCCATATCGCAATAATTTGCGTGGGCATCCGATTTTCCAGCAAGCAGGTCAAAACTGCTTCACAGGGGAACGAGGTTTTTTGCCTTGGAACAATCGTGATCGAGTTGTCTACATTGTTCAGAGCGATGACACAGAAAGTTCCACCAACGAAAACTCGAGTCAGACGTGCAGTTGCTAATTTAGAGATGGTAGAGTGCTTGAAAACCTGCCCATAAAAACCGCAGAACTTGTCAGAGGTTGGAACAAGTCCGGTACCGGATAAACTGAAACCGGTTGGCAATAGCGGTTCAGAAGCCGTTTCCCGTTTTTCGGCAAATTTTCGAAAAGAACGGACAGGAAGCGGTCTTACTTCTGAAACTTCTTCTACCTCTGAGTTGTAGGCTACATGATTTTCATATGTGGACAGTGGAAGTCTGGAAGATTAATTTGAAATATGAAGAGCTCTGTTGTTTAAATTCATTGAAGCGTAGTTTTTCTTGAAAATAATATGTAAGCCGTATTAAACTCCGTATTCTGAGATTTTTTGTGCTAATAAATGATAAGAAGCTATGCAGTTTTTTACTTCTATTGAAACTAAGACAAGATGAAGAGGGACTCTGGGCCTGGGCCAATGAGGGATCAGGGACTAGGGTCTAGGGAGCCTGGGAGGCTGGGAGAAGACCAACTAGGATTGAAAAAATTCCGCATTCAGATTCAATAAATAGAATTGCAGATAATTGCCCGATTCCTCTGCTCTTTAGCAATGTAAGGGGCCACAAGGCCAATCATTTTCAAAGCTAATTCTGTTTTTTGTTCAGCTTTCAGGCTTTCAGCAGATGATAATTTTTGTGCTGGAACTGCTGGTAAATGTTAGCACTTCACAATATTTCCAAACGATGCCGGTGCACTGTGCACATTTACTCGTAATAAAATTACCTACTAGGCAACTCATAATAAAATTAGGTACCTACTCATAAAGTCATACCTAATAAAATGATGGAAATTAGCCTGACAAATTTAATATAAAAAATGTAGAAATCTCCAAAGATTAACTTGAATTGTTTCAAATTTCAATAAGAGAACAGTAAATGACAGTGCAATGGGACCAATGAATGAGTCTGTGCAAACTATTAGGTAAAGTTAAAACTTAAAAGTGTGAAATGAAAGCTCTGATCTGATTTTGATGGTTGATTCAAAGTTCATGTAGGTGATGTAGCTAAGACTCTAAGTGTAACAACATACTGAACATAACATAGTAAATTTACTAATGAAAATCAAGAAAAATATGTCATAAATATGTGTAGGGTAAACGCGATATATTCCAACATTGTGGGTAATTCCGTCACCTCTTTAGTTTTTCCTTTATATTAAGCTTTGTTTTAGTTCCATGCGTTTGTTGATGGTTGAAATGGTGACGTCATACATTTGCGTTTGCGGTGCGAACCACGAAAGATGCCAGATGTTGCTATATTTTGGTGAAAAATGTTTCTTATATGTCCCTGTAGTTAGCTGCGCCTCAAATATTGTGCTGTATGCAAGTTATGTGGTAAAATATTGAGCGGGACACCACAGTCCCGTCAGTCACGAAAGGGTTAATCAAAAACAATAAACATATTTTTTTCTCAACCCAGACACTCATAAGTCCTTCAATACTGAACGAATTTGCTTGAATTTTAATATGCGAGTAGATATTATTGATATGCTGCAGCAGGAATTAATACAGATTTTTACAAAAATTATTTTTTAATTAAAAACAATAAACATAATTTTTCTCAACCCAGACACTCATAATTCCTTCAATAGAGAACAGATTTGCTTGAATTTTGGATTATGAATATTTATTATCAGATGCAGTAAATGAAAAATAGAATATGCGCACTTTATTTATGGTATTTAATTTCACGATAGGGGGTTTCTTCCCAAGGCACATGGAAGAGCATTCTTTCAACCTGTCTCTTATACACATCTAGATGTGTATAAGAGACAGAAGCAATGCCCTGAGATTTATGCACAACCATAAATTATTTTTCTTGGTTGCTTCATTATAAATTTAATAATTTTCCTGTTTGTTCATAGTAGGCACTTGTTGCCTCACTCTGTCAGAAACCATTTTGAAAGCGCGAAAACGCGTCTCAGTTATTAAGTTTACGTTATTAAGTTATTAAGTTTACGATGAATAATCGATTGTTCACAATAAATGAATTATTTTCTAATGAATATGATAAGTTACATTT